AAGAAACATAAACACAGCGCTCATTTCTGGCAGGTTTTTACTGTCAGAGTTTCTCCTATTATATTTATCTTACAATTTGCCAGGGGGTGAAGTTATTAAGTTTTAGCAGCAGCCATCGATCAAGTTCACAAGTTAACACGATAAAGGCTCTGTGCCGCTCCGATCCGGGAAAATGATGATCCTCACTCGGTAATTAACTAAATGAGAAAGTTAAATCTTACTTGAGAGCTGGGAGAGATGAAAGAGAGGTGTTTGTCAGTTTCTCAGTGGAAATTAGAAGCAGTTTTCTGCAATTCCCTAAGCTGCTGCTCTGTCATATTTTACATAAGCACTGGGAAAACGTCTTGTAATTAGTGCTGTCATGGAGGATTTTTTTTGCTGAAGGATGTTGGAATAATTCATTAGATTATCAAGAAAGGCTTGTGTCCTGAAATGATTAGCACAGTGAAATTTAAACCATTAACGATAACAAGTTTAGAGCTTGCTGCAGTGCAGAGGCACCCGGGGTATGTCTGTGCCTATTTCAATCATTTCTTATAATTAAACATTATGTCCTCTTTTTTCCTCCCCTTCACTACGACCCATCCAAAATTCCTGTTAAGGTGGCTCTGTGTAGATCAGCGACTTTAACCATGACTGGAGGTACAAGCAGTTGGAGGTGAAATTCTGTGGTTGCAGATAAGCAGTTAGGAGACATTTTTCTGTGTCAAGAGCCTGTAGTCCATGGGAGTGCAGCAAGGAGTGGAGAAGCCCAGTATGACCTGTCAGTACTGGAACATCAAAGGGCAGTCTCTTTTGTCTAGAGAGAAATTCTGAGACATTTGTAGTGGTGGTCTAAGCATTCAGTCTTTTCAGAGCTCCAGCATGAAGCTGTTTTGAAGGTTCTGAAGGTACCAAACCTTACTGGGTTTAACCATTTAACCATTCTCAGTGCTTTAGGAGACAGCTTCTCTTTTTCTTTGACTTTAAGGGATGTCTTCTTACCTTAAGAAACATATAATCTAAGTTCATCCACTATGAAAAATGCCTTAACGAAGTCCTCTGGAATGATTAGAGGACACGGTGGATTTTAAATAAAAGACCCAACCTTTAAAAGTTGTGACCACTTGTATGTGTGGGGAAACACTTTACCTATACTAGGATTGGAGAACTGTGCTTGTGTTTGTTTTCTCTGTGCTTTAGGAGGCTCCTCCGTCCCCTGTGCTGAACAAAAGCAAAAGTAACCTTGCTTGTCATGTATGGGTTATGTCTATGATATACCATGGCTGTCTTGTTTTATATGCAGAGCAGTAGATTTATCCAGGCTTTATTTATCTGTGTTGAAATATTACACCTTCCTGTAGTTGCAAACCATTATTTAGATTAAAGTCCTTTCATATATTAGTCCTCTTCTACTTCACTGGGCATACAAATGTGCTTTGTGTTAAGTGTAGCCATTTGGAGAAATGGTCTTGTAATTATGGGCTGCAATGGAGCATAGTACGTAGATCCCTGAGCTAGTACCAACCTGAGGCACTCAGTCCCCTGGGTTCCCTGGCATAGCTTACTAGCTCAGGCACACTGTTGTAGGAGGACACTTCTGCTGTTCCTGCAGATCAGCTGTTGTGCCTGCAGCCGGCTGGGGCACCTCTCAGCCCTCACTTACAGGGATTTGTGATAAGGGAGTCAGAAAAGCTTTGTTTGTTCCCAGTTAGTAGTTTGCTCTGTCCGACTTGAACTTCTTGCCTGGTGATGGACCACCAGTGTTTATTCTTCTTTGACACTTTTGGAAGTGAAGCTTATAAAAAGCATGACTGTATACAGTACATTTGCATGGATATTTACCCTGGCAGTATGAATGGCACACGGGACAGTTTATTCTTTTTCAGGTGAGGCCTGGTTGTTGTACCAGGAGAGGGAAAAGGCTATAGGCGATTGTGTGCTCCAGGAGATAGTTGATGATACTATTCTGAGGTGGTTTGTCATGAACTTGAGGCAGCTGATTAGAACGGTTGAGTCATTAGAGTTTCTCAGGAAGCCAAATATTCTCTTACTGATAGTAAGTGCCCTTCCCCACCAACACTTTAATAATACAGATGCTTGATGTTGTTGTTGGCTTGTTTTAGTAACAAACCTTTTTCACTGAATCCTCGGTGGACTTTCAGGAATCTTCAAATTGGAATTCTGGAATTTTATTCAAAGCTGTAGCAACTGACAGTCTAGGCAAAGCATGTGAGCATGTGCTGCAAGTGAGTGATTTGGGAGCTGTGTAAATTCATCTGTCTCTAATCTGCAGAACTGGTATGTTTGTGGCTTGCCCTGTCCTCCTGGTTCCCTTGCTTGTGTAGACCACAGGATCTACTGGGCATACTGTGGCTGCCTATGGGTTTGTCCTCACTCCTTGTAATGGGAAACCAGAGTAGGCAAGGGTGCAAACCAGGTCTGGAGTTGTCAAAATGCAGCCAAAGTATGTGCACAAACCTAATAAATGTGGTGTTCCCCTGTCCACTAATTTGAACATAAACACTGTAACATGTATATTGTTTTTCTTAGCAGATCCACTATATAAACCTGGAGTTTGACTTCCAGAGCTGTTGCAGGTGATGGTCAATGGACTCTTTAATTTACTCATTATTACCCCCCCAAGAGGCCTGTATTCACTCGGGATTCAGGCAAAATGGCTGCTTTTGTCCCATCAAAGCCATCTGTTTGTACGCACATAAGCCGTTACTTGTTTTTGCAGATGTTGCAACTTCTGTTTGATACCCTAAACTGATGTTTTAGAGGTAATTGGGGAGCTGCAGGCCACTGGGAGCAGGGTGCTCGGGAGGCAAGGAAAGGGCAGACCATGGTGCCACCCAGTGAAAGGAGGTGCCCCTTTTGTGGTCTTTGCCCATCAGCTGTCTGCTTCGTTCCAGCTCAGCATATTAGTCAGATTTCACAGTCTCTAAAACTATAGGGCAGAGGTATAGGTTTTCTAAAATAATGCTTTGTAGAGACAGCCTTTTGTGAGATGCGCAACGACAAAAGAGAAATTAAATGAGATCACGCTCGTAGAGCGCATTTCCCCACTGTCTTAATCCAGCATTTTTACAGGGGTGTCTGTTTTGCAGGCAGCTTAACTGCAGCAAAAATGACGAGATTCCCTTAAGACCGATGCTCAGTGCGGTGCCTTGGTAATCATTTTTTGCCAGGCTGTTGCCTGCTGTGGACTTTGCTAGGAAAAATCCAGCCTTTCGCACCTGGGACTTCATGTCCACAGTCCCCTTTAGAGATTTCTTTATATAAAAAGTTGGCCCAAGAGAGAGTATTTCTTCCCTGCTGCCTGCTTCTGTCTCTGTGACTCACTTGCAGTCGGCGCTGTCCATCTCATGGCTATGTAGAAGTGTAGCTCAGTCACAGCCCTTGCCTTGCACAATCTTACTGAACACACACAGATAAAAGTAAAGTTGAAAACACTGAGCTGCAGAACTGAACACTGATGGTGTGATGTTCATGCTCTGTGTTCTCAAAGAAACTTAAGTCAAACCATTATTCAGAAATAGAAGATATTGCTTGTTAAAAATGTCGGCTAATTACTGTCTTTTTCTACCAGAGGAAAGTCTGTCCAGCTCTGCTGGAAATGCTGAAAAGAGTATTTAGGTGGATTTACTGTAGAAAATGAAACGGACATGGTGATTATTTGAGTAGATTTTCAAATTATGAGGATTTTAACGTTCCAAAGTCAGGACTGCTGTTTGCGTTGGGGATATTCTGAAGTACAGGCATTATCTACTCCTGAGAAATTCCAACATTCCAAACTCAGTTTTGATAACTGGATTTTGTGGTCTCTAAATAACCCATTGTTTTGGCACTTGCTGTAAAAAGGCTTTTTTGTAGTTTTTGTTTTCTTCTCCTATAAAACCAGTTAATCCATGCATTTTGTTTAGATCATTAGATATCTTTGCCGAGAGATTTTAAGTACTCATTTTTTCTCTTAAAGTTAATAAAGTGTGCTGATGGGGTTGATGCCTGGAATTATCATCATAGAACAGAAATATGACATCCCTGCATCAGTCTCTTATATATTCTGATATATGTAATTTGATTTTAATTACTTGATAACTAATAGAGAATCTCTAAATGTATTTTGTAAATAAAAGTGAATTAATAATATTGACTGTTGTTATAATGTTGTCTGGTATTAAACAATTGCAATGAAAGAGAGAAAATCACATGTATTCAGCATTTCATACAGCTCTTCGACCAGTATGGGAAAAAATAATTTCCCAGCAAACAGTTAATCTTACTTGGACAGAAGATATCCTTGCAATGCAAAATGTGCACTTGTCTTCCAGTCAAATCATTTAGAAAGCAGAAATTATATCTCGCTATCAAGTAGTAAATTGAAATGTCAGTGTTTTGTTTTGTCCTTGAAACTCTTTGAGCTGAGTCCTTTTGACAAGATATTAACAGTGCTCAGAAAGTTGAAAATCTTTTCTTCTGTGAAAGAAGTATGTACCAAATATCAGGGTGTGTTTTAGCTGGCTTTGCTCTCAAGGTATAATTGTATACTCAAAAGAAGTACTATCAGTTTTTTTCTCATCCTTTTCATGCATTTGCTATGAATTTTAGCAGCAGTCTATTCTTTAGAAGAAAAAAAAACCAAACCAGAATACCAATGCAGTTTTTTGTTGGTGCATTGAAGTAACTGGTGACTGTAGATGAGGAATCCAAATGCGTTTCACTGTCTGCACGGTGTAAAGAAAACAGTGTTTATGTTAAATTGCCACTCAAAGTTCCTGTCTGACCAGAGCCCTTTGTGTGCAGCTCGGGCGTGAGCCAGTGCATTGTCCTGCGGGGGTACAGCTCGCGGTGGCTGTGCTCCCTCTGACAGCACAAATGGGATACGTGGTCTCAGCCAGCCTGGTGTACCAGAGTGCTTTTTGCCTTGTATTTTCTTCCCCCTAAAAAAAATAATAAAACCACTTGAGCTTCTTTTCGTATGTGTGATTGGGGTTGTTTCTCTTTCCTTTTTCCAGACAAAACTTGCCAATGGCACCTCCAGTATGATTGTGCCCAAGCAAAGAAAACTGTCTGCGAGCTATGAGAAGGAGAAGGAACTCTGCGTCAAGTATTTTGAACAGTGGTCTGAGTCTGACCAGGTGGAGTTTGTGGAGCACCTCATCTCCCAGATGTGTCACTACCAGCATGGACATATAAACTCATACCTCAAACCCATGTTACAGCGGGACTTCATCACTGCACTGCCAGGTATTTCTGCAGGCAGAGCAAGCTTGCTCCTCCGTCTTGTCTTTCAGAAGACTATTCCACTCTGGCCTATCGTGCTGGAGAGCTCTCTTCTAGGGTCAGTTTGCAAAGCAGCCGATAGCTTTCGAATGAGTAGTTCTATATTGGGATGAAATGTAGTAGTATTTTATTTTGTATTCCTACCATCTCTGAAAGCGTGATCTAACACCACCATGGTTTGGCTAGGAGTAAATGTTAGCTCATGTATCTATCACAAGGAGAGTCATCACAGGCCACAGGGCAGGTAGTGGTACTCATAATGCCCACAACGATGCGTGAATGACAAAAATTTTTAAAATTAAAACTACTACTCTTTCTGGTTGCTCAACTGAGGTTTTCCTTTTTCTTACTTAGATTTTTTTTTGTCTCTCTTTCCCAGTAAAATACCTTCCTGAAGCCACCACTTTGATTATGTGTTTATTGCTAAGAGAGAATGGAGGGCATAAGATCAAAGGCTGAAAGTGTTCTATTTTTTGCACTTCTGTAGTACTTTCCGTCGAGAGTATTAACCCAGCTGTTCTCAGACGTGGCACTGGGTGTGTCTCACAGAGTGCACACAAACAGTAGTACATGTGCAGTTTTGTATTGGCTTCCAGGTATCGCACTTACAGGTGCAAAAACTAAGGCAGTGGGGGATAAAGCATACACAGCAACAGAATTTCAGAACCAGATGGAAATTCCTGGCTCTTTGGTCTGTTTTTCAGACCATTAAATTGCACATCTGTAGATAGATAGGTAGATAGATAGATAGGTGGTTAATAGATTAGCATTCCAATGGCATAGGTCCTTACTTTGAGATAGACCCGAGGAAAAAATGCTATAAGTGGTGTCTGTAAATAGCTGGTTTAAGAGAGGGTTTTCTTGCCAAAAGCTTGTTCTGTGAATAACTTCAGAGAACTCTGACAGTTTGTTCAGTCCAGTCATTTGATCATTCTTTGGAAGGGATTTCTCAACGTGAAATTTAAGTTCTACGTTTAAAAGATGGAAAAGTGTGTTTAAATGTGTATTGTACAAAGCATAAAAGGCGCTGCAGGAGTTTTGCTATGAAGTTAAACGCGTAGACTGGCTGGATTTTTAAGCTTATTGTGCTCAGTAATCAAATGGCTGTTGTAGCATTAAAAAAAAATCTTAGTTATGCTAAGTACCTGCTTTATGTTAGTTTTTAGTAGTCCAATGGCAATAATCTGGTGTACTTAGAGCAGCATTGTAACTTGTGGAGCTGTTCTGTTTCGGAAAAATAGAGAGTATTTTGAAAGTGCCTTGGTTCCCCCACTTTTAAACTGGAAGTATACATGTAGTACGTGCATAGTTTTTCCAGGTCTTTCTCTGCAAAACTCCATCTCACTTGCAATTGCTTAATGTCATCCCACAGCCTTTTTCTGAAAATTCTGAGCAAATGTTATAAGTACTTTGAGAGGCATTCAGTATTTCCTAGCCATAGCATATTAGTTAGTGGTCTTTTCTCAGTTAAGTAGGAAGCAGATAGTTTTACTATCTCAGAAGGCTGAACAGATAGGAACCAGGCAGCTAATAGGTGAGTATTTGAATAGTTGTGGGAACTGTGTGCTTAAATAATGCATATGCGTCAATTTGCATATTTTCAAAGTGCTAATGTCTTAGTGAGTGTAGCTTTAAGGGAGAAAATTAATGGCAAAAAATTGCACTGGTGCAGACTCTGCGGTCTGTGCAGGATGTCCTGACTATAGGCAGGTTTCTAATGAAGGGAATGGGAAAAGGGAAGGTAGGAAAGAATGATGAACCTAAAATTTTAAATTAAATCACATAATAAAAAACCTCTAAACTCTTTAAGTGTTTTTTTAGCTTTCTGAAATTCTCAAGTGTTCTGGTTTCATTTTTACGCCTTCGTTCTCTCTCCTGCTCTCCCCCTTGAGTGAATAAAAGAGTAAAGCTACTTCAAAATCATGAGGCATCTTATCTCTGTCCTCCTAGCACTGTCCCAAAGAACGACCAGATTTAAAGGTAGTTTTAGATCATGAGCACGTTTTACTAATGTAGAGTAAAATTGGCTCACATTATTTTCCCAGTACATTGAATAGAATTAAGGTTGTGTGAAAAATACAGCTTAGCTGTGTACTTAACAAACTTTGTTCTGTTTCTGAAAAATAAGCTGTTTAACATTTTTTATGAGGAAAGTCATTTTCATAAGGGTTTCATGTGTGAAATAACTGAAACATTCTTCTTAGTATGGAGGGCTGAAGGGGTAATCATGTTTCACATGGATTTAGCAAAAAATTCTGTGAGCAGAGATTTCTCCTTTTTAAGGAAGTGATGCTTTGTTGGATATATGTCTTGGTGAGTTGTGCTGTTCCTAAGAAGCAAAATAATAAAATTGAGTTTGCAGCCAGAAAAAGTAGCTCTTCCCTTCCACTTACAGTAAGTATGAGGAGGAGAGGCCAAAAATTCAGTATTCCTTCTTTGCAAGGGGTCTAGGATCAGTGGCAAAGGGTAACTTGGGGTCATGGAAGTAGTTACAACACCTCATTGCAGCAAGATCTAAAGTGCAACTGCTGATGATCCAGAAAGGGCAGAGGCAGACTTGTGGGTGAAGATTGCTGTGCCCAGTTTATGCAGTGTAACCCTGCTTCCTAGAGCCACTGGTTGTTCCCTGTATAAAAGAATTTCTTGCTGTGATGCTGCTGACACAAAGCCACCAGTAGGAATCCTACAGAGGCAGGCGTTTGTAGATGTCCTGGTGGGTCTGTAAATGTCTGTGGCCCATTGGAACCAATGCAGGCTGGGAAAGCAAGCAAGCCATTTCCACCCTGCAGAGATAGCCCAGGGCTTCACGTGTCAGAGTGGGGAAGCAGAGGGACACGGTGTCCAGGTCTGCCCTACCAAATTGCACAATTCCTGCAAGTTCCAATTCATGTTCATTAAAACGTTGTATCTGTCTTTCCATGGATTGTTGCAGAGTCCATCTAAATTTACAAACACCATTTTTTTCCCCCTTTTTTAAAGAATTTTATATAGAGACTATATAGATCTTTCCAGATTAAATACATAATAAAGGCTGCTGATGTTTTTATTTTGCAGCTTGACATCTAATTTTGCATCTATAAAGATAAGAAATGTCAGACCTCTTTCTGCACTTTCTGGTTCTGCATGGTATCATTCAGGTGCTTTTTCTACATATGAATGGAAGCATAAAACGCTGGGCAGAATGTCTCACCCAAAGTGTGTTATAAATTTAGGATATTTGAAAGGTGTAAGAGGAGGCGTGCTGAATTTTCTCAATGTCATGCACTGGGAAATAATTTCGAGGTCTTTTGGTTTACGAAGATGAAGGTTGAGCCTTTTGTGATTCAGGAACTCTAATCAGAGTCAGCTGATTGCCCCCAATTTGGGTTTGCAGCCGTACAGGCATGTGACTGTAAAAATGCACTTGCTGCTTTTTCTTTCCCTGTCACGAGCAGGGCCTAGTCTTTGAGGCTGTTGTTGTAAAAGCAAGAAAAGATGTAATTAACTCTGTCCGAGATGCGAACCAGAGGGAAGATGCATGTAATACCAATCTGCCATGCTTCCTTTTTGGTTGGTCTGAACATCGTGCCTGAGGGATGATGGGGTCTAAACTACAACTTTCACAAAGCCTCTGAAATTTGACCTGTGAAGTAAGATAATCTCCTGATGGTGTGTCTTTCTTGTGAATTAAAACAGCTTCCAAGAGAAGCTGTATTTATGCAACATCTCATGTAAAAGGCATCTTATTTTCCTGAAGTCTTGCTGGTGATTAAATCTGGGTGTGTAAGGACACATTTTTACTGAGTGCATATGACCAGTTAAGAAACATAGCATAGCCTTTCCTGGCCCTCAGCTACACCAACGTTACATTGGTGCTAACCAGGCAATTACTTTACATTTCACTCCAGCCACGTTGAAACAGCCAATCCAGGTATTCACAGTGGAAAATATTTGTAAATTATACCATTTTGGTGTATATTTTTCCTCTACTCACAAAAATAAATGAAACTAGCAAAACTGCTTCACTTTCTTCTTACACAGCCTCTTCTTCCCTCTCGACTTTCCTGTGCATCTGCATATCTTTCCCTCCCCCATGTCTAAAGGTACCACTACCCTTCAGGGCACACATTGGGAATATATATTTTTTTCTTCATTACGTTTAAAAGCTACTGCTTTAGCAAAAACAGCTTTTGAGCCGTTGGAACATGAGAACAGCTGTAGCAGTGAGATGAGAAATGGTCCTAATATAGAGAGATTTTGGGGGCTGCGTTGCTGAGTTGGAAATGCCATCCATAGAATATCCCCCTAGTGCTAAAACCCATTGAAATAGATTGGAATGACTTCTTGGATTCTTTATTATTTTTAATGACTTGTTGTGTTATATCCAAAGGAAGTTGGAGAATGCTGTTCACTCCTGAACTTAGCTGCAAATGCTCTTCTGTGCATTTGGTCCAGCTCTGCATGCAGAAGAGGAGATGGAAAGAGAGGGTATCTTTGTACTAGCAAGGGGAATTGTTTTAAACTCGGTGTCTCCCTAGCAAATAATAATTTTTTTTTTCTCCTTCAGCTCGGGGATTGGATCACATCGCTGAGAACATTCTATCATACCTGGATGCCAAATCGTTGTGTGCTGCTGAGCTGGTGTGCAAGGAGTGGTACCGGGTGACGTCAGATGGCATGCTGTGGAAGAAGCTCATCGAGAGAATGGTCAGGACAGACTCGCTGTGGAGGGGGTTGTCAGAGAGGAGAGGATGGTGAGGAAACTGCATCTTCACCTCTTTTGCCCCCATTCAGGACAGTAGGTGCTGTGTATTTCAAACCAGGTTTGAAGAGGGTTATTTAGTACCCTAAAACATCATGCTGGTTCCAAACCTGACCATTGCTTAAATCAAAATTTGGGGGTTTGGGGGCATCATTTGGCTGTGCAAGCAATGTGGAGGCTTTATCCTTACCTTCCTTATCTGATCATGCTCTTTTCCCACTGTGACAAGGGAGATATATCGACTGAGATTTTTACACCCAGCTGTCATTTGGTTCAAATTAAGAAGCTGTGTATGCCCCAGGGGAACACTAAACTAGTCAGCAGTTCAGAGCAGAAGAGCTTTTTTAGGGGTGGCAGTGGGGCAGCATGTGCTATGAATTAGTTGTTTCCTGATAGGTCTGTTTGTTTTCCTCAGCAGATTTTCACTATTAGATATCTGTTTAATTTTCAAACTGGAAGCTGAGGGTAGGTACCACGGAGAATAGGGGACTTTAGAAATGCAGATAGATTAGTTAATAATCATCTGGAATAGCCTTACTACAATATGGGTCTCACTCAAGTTTGAAGCTGCTCTGTTAACATTTCATTAGAACTTTGCCTCTCAGGGGTACGTCCTTTAATACATAATTTTCTTTTCCAAGGGTGTCCCTTGGATGTTGGCAGAAAGGAAGCTGGGCATGAATATTTCATAAACAAGATAAAAGTGACAGCTCAGGCATTTTGGTTGCTATTAAAAAGAAAAAGATACAGAGTTGCAAACAAAGACTCCTGTTTTATGGTTAATTTTGTTATACTGTTTGTCTCAGGAAGTAGGGGAGAGTAAATCAGGATTATGAAACATCCTTTAAAAATAAATACAGTTTTGATCTGCTTCCAATAGTATAGTGTTTTTAAAGAGTATAAAATAAACACAAGCATGGCAGTGGTGACTTCTGCGTTCCTTTTAGTGCCTTGTTCTTGCCAGGACTTCTATTTATGCTCTGTATTGTTGAGTTAACGGTAAGTCCAAGAAGAGGACCTTGAGAGGTTTTTTAGTTGTTGCTGTTTCCCAGAGGCAGAAACAGGTTTCTAAGTCATCCCAAATGTTTGTCTAATTTGTTCTTAAAAATCTTCACTGAGGGAGATTCCCCAGGCCTTGTCAGGGCAAGGAATTCCACTGTTTTCACTAACTCCAGTGTCAGTTTCCTAAAATCTAGGCTGTCTTCCTAGCTACAGTTTGGCGTGTTGTATTTCATCTACACAGACACACAGGACAGTTTCTCATTCTCTGTTGTGCAGTAATCTTTTCCATGTCAGAAGATGATGATGTTTCCTGCATTTTGGATGCACTAACCAAAGATAATCCTGTGTTGTCTTGTCTTCTTGTCATTCTTGGTTTTCTCTGTTTAGACCTTTTCCAATTACTCCATTGATGGTGTGATCAGGTGGGTGTCTTACTTCTGCTGAGGCATCACCAGAGTCTGGTGAGCAATGCCTTATGGACGACACTCCATTTTATGCTTTCCAGTAGAACGTGCTGTTTTCTTTTAACAATGGTATAATACTGTAAGAGAATTAATTACCCTTTCTGTGGAAGTTCTGCTTAGCCATTATTCTTCATCATGCATGCTTATGTTGTTGCTCAGTGGTGAACTTGATGCTTGTCCTTATTGAATTAGATTCTCCTTATTGTTTGTTATTTCTCCATTTTGTCAGGAGCATTATGAGTTTAATCTTTTCCTCCAAAGTGCTTGTAGCTTCTCCTAGATTTAGTACCATTAGCCAGATAATAAATGCACTCCATGTTCTGTTCTTTGTCATTAATGAAAATGCTCAGTAATGACACATCTCAGACAGATGTCATGCGAGATCCCAGTTGCCACCCTGTCTGACAGTGCACCATCGACACCTTGTCATTTTGTAGGTGCTCATCTGATTGAATGTGCACTCTAGAACTACTAAGCTACCAAACTTGAGTTGGATGGTCCACCATTTGCTTGATAGACCTTCTTCCTTCTTTTAAAATGCAAGAGCTACGTTTTTCTTCCTGTTCTGTGGAACTTCACATATTCTCTACATCCTGTCAGAGACCATAACTGATAGTTCTCATGTTGCTTCCTCCAGGTTTTAGAAATAACATCAGCACTGATTGCTAGTCATACAGACACTTGGCGTTTCTAAAAAACAGTTGCAAAATCCTTTTTCTCATCTCAAAGAACAGTCACCCTGTTACTGAATCTCTTCTCCAGGTTTACACTGTCCCGGAGGTTGCTTTGACACAACAGGAGCAAGTTTTGCCCTGTCTTCCTGACTGCCCTCTGATTAGCTCTAGAAGATACAACTGTGGGCATGGTGGGGTGGTTAAGAGAGGCAGATGAGAAATAGCCAGTGTAATTGTGTCTCAGCTGCATCGAGCTTTATAGTTTGTAATCAGTGCTAATGCTGTGTGCGGCGCAAGGAGGTGACTAACTGGACGGTTCGGAATGATAGATGGCTGGTGTTAATTGCTCACAGCTCCTCTTTGCACATGGGCTGCCTGCTTTCAGCATTTGCAGCTCGTGGTTTACAACAGAAACGCCCAGTTCCACAGCATGGTAGCCTTCACTGACAGCTTGTCAGGGAGCAGTAAGGGTTACACAGATTTAGAGAAATATAAAACAGAAGCCCAAAATCTGGGCACGATTATGTCCATCTGAATACTTGATTGAATTGGCCAGTCATCAAAACCTGCAAACAATAGTTCCTTTTATCCCAGAGCCACAGCATAACAGCCGCTGGGATGCCATGGAAATTCCAAGCAATCTTTTAGCTGAACTGTAAACAACCAACTCTGCATACAGTGAGGCAGGGCTTATAGGTAGCAAAAAGACTTTGCATTAGGTCAGTTAGTAAAGTTTGAAATGATAGACAGGTTTTCAGGCACCTAGGCTTGTGTACAGATTGTCGTAGGCCTACCCCAAGTCTTCCAGGATACGTCCAAGATATTCTGTGTATCTCCAACAGATATTTTGTCTCCATGGGCAAATCATTTTTATTTTCTTGTATACGTTTCCAGACTGGATCACAGTAAATAGACAACTATCTAGTTAGTGGTTTGCCTGCATCCATGTGTCCCTTCTTCATGTGTATGTCCCCATGAGAGCAGTTGCTGGTTACTGTATTTGATGACTCAGATGGTTACTCTGTCCAAAGTGGAAAGCACCTTTCTCTCAAGTCATACTTAAGACACTCTATTTAAAGAATTACTGAAAATTCTTTTCTTGAGCATTTGTTGTTTTGTTTGTTCAGTCCTGTAGTTTGCTACTGCCTTATAACCAAAAAATTTTGGTTCATTGGTGTGATTTCCCTAGTTCAAGCAGATCAGGACAGCTTCACAAGTGAGTTTCAAGGTATACTGTATGGAAAGGATAAGAAAGAAAAGTGCAAGGAAGTATTGAACAATTAATTATGCCATAATGGAGCAAGGGAGGGAGAAGTGGAGAGCTGGCCCAGAGTAAACTCTGTGCCTCTGATGCCAGGATTACACTCGGAGGCATTTGTGCCTCTCTCTGTTTTGTGGGGCATGCTGCCAGGCAGAGCAGCAGTTAGTACGCCCATGGTGGGGTTTACTGGCTTCCACACGGTGTTTGGTGCCGCCTTAACCTCAGGATGAGGAATTAAAGTTTTTTACACAGCAGGTAGTGATTGCCGTTTACGGATCTTTTTTTCTAGCGAAAATCTAGCTTGGGATATGAGTATTCCAAATCAGTGTTGAAATGAGAGGCACCACAGATGAGGTGTTGCTTACTAAAATGTAGTAGTAGCCATAAAATGTCCATGTACCAAAACTGATACCATCCCTGCTAATGCAGGTAAAAGCTAGCCTTGAATGAATAGTGAATTTGAGGGTTCCTTGGCTGCTTTCATTTTCTTTGTACTCTTTATTTCAAAGTTGACCTCTGATATGAGAATATGTAATGCAGGCATGAGCCACTCTCCCCTGCTGTTGAGCTGAATGTGCTCATGTCCATAATAGATAGTATATTTCTCTTCCCTGAGTGACTAGGCACAGATTTTTCATGAGTATTTCAGTGTCAAAATACAACACTAACGTGTTGTAGGGCAAACAAACAAGGATCCATACAACTTGCTGAGTAAATTAGGTTTGAATATGAATCTGTCTATGCTTTTCAAGAGTGGTTACCCATTTGTAAAAAAACAGGAGGGAAGGACCTTTCTCCAAAATGCTGAAACATGATTTGTGTTCAATGGGAGTGTTCTTTGTCTTCCAGGGGACAATACCTATTTAAAAATAAACCTCCTGATGGGACTGCACCACCCAACTCTTTCTACAGAGCACTTTACCCCAAAATTATACAAGACATAGAGGTAAGAAACAGCTTCCAGATGTGGTGGGGTTTGGTTGATTTTTTTTTTTCTAAATCTCCCTAATTTATTCACAATACTGAAATTCTGAGAATATTTCATTCTAATTAAACATTTTATTATATCTGATGTGTCTGTGTTTGTCTGGAGTTTGTAGATCTGTTGTAGTTATGTAAGGTCCCAGGCTTTGCTGCTCCTTTAGACAGAGGATGAGTTGGATTGTTCCGTGATCCATGGATATCTTTGCAGATGGAGCCTCTACACCTTGCATGTCTGATGTCACAGCAGCACTCTACCATCTTGATTTTCTCTGTTCCTTGCTCCACCCAGTGCACAGGAGGCCTAATAAGATGTTACAGGGAGATGTCAGGAACTGAGTTGGGGACAAAGTGCATTGCTGAAGACTGCAGTCCTAAGACTCAGGGAAATGCGACGCGACTGTGCATGGTTGCCTTGTGTCTAGTGTGAGGAAAATGCCATGTTGTGGTAGTCTCCTAAGGGCAAAAGTGGTGCTCAGCACTGTAGTGACAGTTTTGTACAAGCACTTAGCTAGAGCTCAGCTGAGACTACCTCTTCAGTTGTGTAGTTGTTGAGTCACAGGGGGTTAAAGATTGGAGACAGAAAAAAAGCTTTTAGGTCACTTGTCCCTCACCGTTCCAGGTAGCACAGAGGAGTTTAGCCATGATAAGTTTCCCAGGCTTTTGTCTGTTTAATTGGTTTTATTACATGTGCTTCTTCTTCTTGAAAGCGGTTATGTGATTGTATGGGCTTGATTGCAGGAAAAAGTGTGAAGAAAAGTATCTGCCGTCTTCTCGAGGAAATAAAAAAAGGGGAGATAGTTCCATGCTTCATTTTCACTTCTCTTTTGTCTCCTGTCTTTCCTCAAGACAATAGAGTCAAACTGGCGATGTGGAAGGCACAGTTTACAGAGGATCCACTGCCGAAGTGAGACAAGCAAAGGGGTTTATTGTTTACAGTATGATGATCAGAAGATAGTAAGTGGCCTACGAGACAATACTATTAAGGTGAGAACGCTCCAGAAAGGCACACTAATGGCATGCATTGTCTGTGCCATGAGTAATAGCATCTTAATTTCAGTGATACCTGCTCAATCTGTCATTAGTTAACCTAGCCTTCTCCTTCCCCCACTTCACACTTGCACAGCACATAGGCTTCTTTTGTCTGGCAAGAGATACCCTGTTTTCTTAAAAACAGGTTTCAGAGCAGACTTTTTGTCCATCAGTAATTCCAGGCAATGTAATTACTGTGTCCCATAACCCGATGAGAAGAGTAAAGAAAATATTAATAGTAAAGCCAGTGATATTGAAGATGTTGATGTATTGCATCAAAGAACCTGTAGAAGACTCTGCAAATGCCACTAAAGATGTTCTAGCTGCCCTATGGATGATGTGTTGCAGTAAAAAGCAGACCAGTCAAACCAGTAAGTGCTGAAAGATTCAACCCTTACTGAGCTGTCTGGTTTTGAATATTTGCTATCTTAGATCTGGGATAAGAATACGTTGGAATGCAAGCGAATTCTCACCGGACACACGGGTTCTGTCCTGTGCCTCCAGTATGATGAGCGGGTGATCATTACTGGATCTTCAGACTCAACAGTCAGGTGTGTGCTTGTGCTTTCTGTTTGCATCTAAGATTTTAGCTTTGCAAACTGCTGAAATACTCTTTTCTTATATGTGTGCTCTTCAGTCGGTTCCATGAAGTAGTTCATATTTATTCAGGAGTGTACTGTCTTTGTTTATCAGGTGTTTATGCAAATGTCTGTCAAGGAGAAATGAGAACCTAAGCAAAGACCACCTTGACCTAAGCAAAGGTCAAAATGACTTAGGAAGGCCATCTGGCATTTCAGCAAGGTCCCTGAAAATGTATTAAATTCTCCCTGAAAAGAATTTTTAAAAAGTTGGTTGAAATTTTCAAAGCAGGTTTGAAGGCTTAGTCATACATTGTGACTTAATTTTAACGAAACCTGTATCACTAGATCTCCTGTGACTTTTAATTAAATTTCAGCGTGATGTGTCTTTTCACTCAACCTTTCTAACCTTGCCTTCATTCCAGTCTCCAGCAGAAGACTGGACACTGCAAGTCAGCACTTGTGGTGCATGTTGTGCAGCTGTGAAGTCCACTAGACATATTACAGGATCCTAGAGAGTCTTAAGACCTGAAATGTAAATACAGTCACATACAAGTTAGTGAAATGCAAAACGAACTTGGATGTGAAGGGCCAAGTTTGTCTCTGTTGGTGACCTTTTCTGCAGTTATGTGTTCCTATGGCTGCAAGCTCCTCATGGTTATCACCGTGCTTGCATGTAAACTACCACTGTTAAGCTAATAACCATTAAGTTTGGTTCCTGACGTGATGCATGCAGTCTTGTGGTGCTGCTAGATTTTGAGGTCTTGTCATTAGTAGGAATCCAGAATTTCAGCAACACCACCTGCCTGGAGACTGCGTGGGAACTGCACTGTGATAAACAGATCGCAAAAGGAGAGGCTGATTCTGTAACAAGCACTATCATCTTCCATATCAGAACAGGCAGGCCAAATTGCAGACTGGCTACTTGCCCAGAAATACTTTGTTTCCCACTGTATCTATAAATGTTTGCACAGACCCCAGAGGCATGTGGGATGCATCACTTTTATCCTTGGGTCTCCTCAGGAAGAGGAACTTCATCCAATAGACGGTACAGATGGGCTCTTAATGCTTCTGAGATCTCGGGGATGCACTTGTCCAAAGAAGTCAGTAGGTCTCCAGCTCCTGTTCAGTTTGGCAACCCTGTCCGCAAACTGCTCATATGTTAATGGCTCGGGTCCTTAGTCTGTGGGTTTTTCTCCATTGCATTTTGTAATTGGAATGTAGTTTTCTTTCTCGTTTATAGTCCGTAAGTAGATGCACTTCAGCCTCCATAAGGCAGAAAATAAGACGTTAGGAGTCTTTTTCACTTCTTGCCTTTTCTTGCTGCTCACCTTATTGACAGAGGGAAGTTTTAATGTCTGCCATGTCTGATGCATCTAATGATATGACCATTTTCTGCTCTTAGGTAGAATATCTAAGATACAGGTGTGGCAGTGCCAAAATAAACTTCTTTATGGAGGCAAAGGGAGTTTGCCAGCAGAATACCCCGAAAGAAGCATTTTTAAAGCTTAATTCTTCATTTAGATTCCTAGAAGTTCAGTATGAAGCCTTTGTCTACCTTTCATCTTAAATTGTCTTTCAGCTGAAACAGTTGGTTCCAATAACATTAAATTGACATAAATGCTCTGTCTTAATGTGGGTACTCAGTGCATTCCTGGAGTGTAGCTGTGTACCAAATGCACTGCAGGGTAAATGCAATTCGTGGTGCAACTTGTGGCAATTACTTGTATTTGTTTGAGAAGCATTATCTTCTGCTTCTGTGTAAATTATCCTTTGAATTGATAATCCTGTGAGAGAGGTCAAAAATGAAACCTGTCACTGAACTTCCTTCTCCACAGGTCATGATTAAGTACTCATTGACTGGAAATGGAGTGTGGGGTAGGCTGACACAACCAGGAGACATCAGCCTTTAAGGCCATCAATCTCTTACCTTTCCTTGGCACTAAATTCCCTTAATTAAAGAACGCTTTTTTCCTGGCTGGATTATTTTATGGCGTTAACTGCATTGCAGGGTTTTTAGCTGCTGGACTGTCTCAATGTACGCATAATCAACAGGTTTATATAATACATTTTTTAATGAACTATTTAATAGATGTAGATATAACTTGTAGCGTTTGCTTCTCTAATATTGCTAGAGAGTCTATTACCTCTCCCCACCCCTCTCTCGCTCTGCAGAACATCCACTGTTCATGGTTTTTAACTCCCTTTCCTCTGGTTTGGAATCTGAAACTGCAGGGTGTGGGATGTGAACGCGGGCGAGATGCTGAACACGCTGATCCACCACTGCGAGGCGGTTCTGCACCTCCGCTTCAATAACGGCATGATGGTGACCTGTTCCAAGGACCGCTCCATCGCCGTGTGGGACATGGCCTCCCCGACAGATATCACCCTGAGGAGGGTCCTGGTAGGGCACCGAGCTGCTGTCAACGTAGTGGACTTTGACGACAAGTACATTGTGTCAGCATCAGGTGACAGAACTATAAAGGTGAGGTGTTTCGGAGGATTTTTGTTTGCAGCACTGGGGTATTAAATAACCAAGAACGGTGACCAGACAGGGAGGATGGTTCTTGGCAGTTATTACATAGATCTTCCTTTAGAAGCAGTGCTCTTCCTGCTGCTCATTTCCACTCGTCCTTCCTCTATTGAGCTTGCACAACTTGTTTACAGAACTGTATGGCAAATCAGATCCGGGTACAGATAGAGTTGAAAAAGAACTCGTTTTTTCCATGTCCTTTTTCAACTTGACCACTTCCATAATCCCTTTCAGCATCAGTCATTTGAACAGTTGTCAGAGGGCATCGTGGGGGCAAAAGTGAAGGTGAGTGGATGGGAATTACTTGAGTATTATTGCCATGATGCCAATCTGCAACGTTAAACCTGAGGAAAATAGAGATCCTGTGTAGACTAGATCATATCCCAAGACTGTTAAAGCCTGATTTTGGAGGCCAGTTTACATACGATGTGGCAAAAATCTTCTGTGTACTGTGACCCAAGCTGCTAACAGTTGCAGGCTATAGTCACAAGTCATTGGAGAGCTAATTTTCTCAGTCTTCAGGATAACATCTTCAGTTAAGAACATTTTGGATGCACCTATATATATCATACATATATCAGCTTTTGTTAGTCTCTTCTTAATAATTTTGTCTCTGTGTGGTCCCCTTCCTGTCACAGGTATGGAACACTAGTACCTGCGAATTTGTGCGCACCTTAAATGGCCACAAACGAGGCATTGCATGTCTGCAGTACAGAGACAGGCTAGTAGTGAGCGGCTCTTCAGATAATACCATCAGGTGAGACACACTCCCCTTTGCAGAGTTCTCTGCAAGCACCTTTTCTCCAGTTCCCGGGGACGTGCAGAGGTTAGGCCACTGAAGTGCTCTGTACCCTTGTCGGCTTTGAAATGTGCTTTCTTTGGTATAGAACATTGGGAGCTACTGGAAAGAGATATTAGAAGCCTGTTTTACTGTGTTGTCTTTCATCCTCTGTCTCTCAAGAGTCCCATACTAATCAACAAGTTGCATTGCTCTGACAATTCTGGTGTATGAAAGATCTGGCAAGTACTTCTTTCTGTGATGTCCTCTTGTGATATTTTAAGTGGGCTATGTGTCTAGTTAAAGGGGTCAGATTTGTAGTAAGAGGCATTTAATCCTCTGCAGAAATCCTCCTGGGCTCTCGCCAAACTCTTCTTGTGGTACTTGGCACCTGGTTAAGTTTGGAACAGCTGGTTTAGAGCATGAAGTTCAGTTTCCTGCCTTTTGCACTTCTCCAGCTGCCCTGGTTGCAATCTGAGATTTAACTCTTTCTGGTGTCATGAGCCAGGATTTCTCCCTACATCCTGCAGCTGCTGGCAGAAGGTTGTCCCACTAATCTCAGGGTGTATGGAGCAAGCTTCAATAGTAGTGTAAGTGATGTAGGGAAGTGGCTTTCCTGCAAACAGCAGTAAGAGCAACCTCCCTTTTGTCTTTGTCATTGCTTTAAATAGTTGACTGCCTTCTGATAAAACTTGAAGGCTGGACAATGCAAACAGAAACCCTTCACTTTGCATGTCAGTATTAATTTCTGCTCAGTGAGAACAATTCATGCCACTGTTTGCCCGTGGACTTTGCTTGCAACACGCTGCCTCTTCCTGCTTTGCATTCTGTAGGAAAATGGTGGTCCTTTGGTTGACATCACTAGGTTGTTGTGCCAGAATTTAGTATAGGACTGTCTGAGAGCATGACCAAGAGTGCTGGAACTTCTGTGTCTTAGGGGAAGAAGTATTACAGGCACTGTGTAAGAGTAGCACCATGTACATGTGGTGAGAAATCCTGCACTTTGAATAGGAAAAAAATAACCCTCTGCAATTGTACTATGAAACTTGGTCTCAGAATTAGAGTAAGAAATAGTTAAATGTTGCAGCAGTTAGGGAAGGATCTAAAATATGACTTGCAGTGCTAATAAAAATAAATGTCAAGATAGCGATAACACTAAAGAGGAGTACAGTTACTTTTATGCTTACATTGGACAAAATCCCTAGTTGACAGATAAATTGTGCTAGAATTTCAGGAATGTTGGCTGTGAGTCTTGATGGAAATCAAGTTTGGTGGCTGAGTGGGCAAGGCACAGGACTTACCTGGTCACATCGTTTTCTCCCAGCCATCAATAGAGGACTCAAGTCAGTGGAAGGGTGATTAAAAAAGAGCATGTTACTAAGTCGTCTTTGTGGGTGGCTTAGTGCTTTGTGTGTTTGCTTTTAATCCACTGTAAAATGCCGGATGTTGGTTGTTGGCCTTTAGTAGAGACTGCCTCCTGATACAGAATTTGAAGCCTGTCATTCCTCAATTGCAGGAAAACTTTTTTTTCAGAAGTGATTTCTGGTCTTAGAGCTGCAAATGTAAGCGCATGTGAAGTAGCTGAAAAATCAGTTTCTTTCTTCTTAGGGAGTCTCCTTCTATAAAAATGATTTAGGTTTTGTTTTAGGCCAGAAATTTCACCAGTGTAAGAGGACACAACTACATAGGCATCGCTGTCATTGTGCCAAATTCCATCTGGTAGAAACTGGTCCATCAAGTTTAATCCAGTCGCTTCAGTATCTTAGCCTCTAGGGCCAAAGTTCTTAATTGCTACAGACAAGCATGGTATAGAAAAGAATGAAAAGAAGATAATTTAGAGCAAGAAGATAGAATCAGACTACATCGTTTTAGGTTAATTTTTCAATGAGTGGCTGATTTGCATATGTGCATTCATTTGCATGCTTTGCATTCAACCTCCAGTATGTGCACACATGGGAATCTGATACTAGCTATTCAGTCAGCAGCATTCTCTCAAGAAGATGAAGATTCAGGCTCACCTGCCTTCTGTACTCTTCCAGCTCTGTCAGGACTTCGAGTCAATTAAAGGCTGAGGTATTTGCAGACCTCCCTTTACTTCCAGAAGTTCTTCCAAAGCTACAGGAAGGAAGGTGGTATTGGTTTTGACTGTGTGCACTTTGTAGTGATTTTTTTTTCTTCTCAAGCCTTAAGGGAAGTTCCTGTGCTATTTTGTCCTTTGACTATTTAAAGAAGTAGAAATTTGAGAAGATTATAAAATCTGGGAGATTCCCTTGGCACCAGTTCTTCTAGGAGATTCTGCTCTTATGTAGCAGCTATCCCTTTTGTACATGAAGGCCCATTCCTCACATGGCGAAGGACATGATCACCTCTTCTAATCCCATTCACTTTCAGGTAAAAAAATTAAACTAAGTACCAAAAATACAGGCCTGAATTAGTGTGATGCAGCCTCCCAGAGCTGCTGACAATATCAGGATTGATGGCAAGAAATGGAAACACATGGCACAAAAGTTCCTGGCCCAAGATTGCTCTTCAAACCTTGCTGCATCGGTTCATTTCTGGCATTGTCCATCCTGTTTACAGTCCTTGAGAGACTTGCTGCTCTCTGACCAGCCAGAATGCCTTTGGCTGACCTTTGCCATGGAGTTGCTTGCTCTGACCTTGACTGGTGTGTCAGTACTCATGTGATAACTGTTGGGATCTTCACAGATTGCTGAAAGATCAACTTCACGGATCAAAGAGTCACCTCGTGCTCCTCGTTGGCCTCAGACGTGTGCATAGACAAATCCTTTCCCAGTTCTACAGTGACAAAAGAGTTCTGTTCATGCCTCTGTTGTCCAAAGTGAGAGCAGCGTGTCGTGGCAGGACAGCTGCAGTCATCATCCACCAATCGTGGGCACACATGCACTGGATCTGGATTATTCCCTGGAGGGCCTCAGGAGTAAAATATGTGGGGGCAGTTTATCTCTTTCTTTGTCTGTCTCCTAAGGAAAAGTGAGCTGATCCTTCAGCAGCTGTGCTGCTTCGAGACGTGTCACCCAGAGGAATTCCACGAACCACCCGTATTTCTCACTATTGTGAAGTTCATGTCGGTCTGAATGCTAACTGAGCATTTCAGAACATTGTGACTGCTTGCTTTCAGCTGTGTGTCAGGAAGCTGCAGCAGATAACTGCTGGTAAAAGATTCTTGTGTGAGCAGAGCGTGGCTCAGCCAGAGGTAGAACACCTCTAGATAATACATGTCAAAGAATTTCAGTTCTTGTAAGCAAATAATCGCTTCTGGCAAAAGTATGGAAAGAAATAGACTTCATAACTGTTTCAGGCATTTCCTAAATATTTTTCAGGGTAGTGTGTAACTTTAAAAAATAATGTATTTTAATTTATTCTCCATGCTAAAAATCCTTCACAAAGCCCCAAATGGGGATATCTACGGTTGAGAGAGTAGTGCACTGCTGTGTCTCTTACTGGGATACTTTGTGGTGATTTTGGTGACAGAACTTTTTTAAAATATTGGATTATTAGAAAAAGCAGAGAGCTACAGGAATTGAGACCAGGAATAAAATGTGTTAGAAAATAATAGGCACAGAGTGCCCATTTTAGCTTCTGCATAATGCCTAGATTACCAAGTAAACATACCTTCAGTGGGAGAAATGACAAATAAAAAGGACTTGTTAGTTCTCACGCATCTCACCACTGTACTGATGTTTTAATTAGTCTGGTGGTTGTCTCCACATCAGAAATAAGCATGTTAGGGGTACAGAAAGGAGCACATGCCCTGTAAAGGTGATCTTACCCATTGGAATAAGCTCCAAGGGCATTGCTAAGTTTCCCTCTCTTAATGTCTTAAAATCAAGGCAGGATACTTTTATGAAAAATCAACTTCAGTAAAATAAAGTTATGAGGCTTACTGTGACGATAACTGGGAGATACCCTGTGTTACTAAGGCAGTACATACTAGATACAACTGGTCTCACAGTTTTGGGATCTCTTACTTATTTCATGTGTGATACTGTAACCTACCAGGGTCATGTTGAAAAGCGTGCATCCACTTAACAGCAGGAAAGGAGTGATGAATGTAGCTTGTTTCTTCTTTGTTGTTTCATCGTAATCTTTATTTCCAAGTTTCCATTAACTATAAGCAAAAACGAAATGTCTCATTGCAATGATCACAAATTCAAAAACTCTTAGTTCTTCTTTGTACTCTTCCAGGCTGTGGGATATCGAGTGCGGGGCGTGTTTGCGAGTCCTGGAGGGCCATGAAGAGCTGGTGAGATGCATACGCTTTGATAACAAGAGGATAGTCAGTGGGGCGTATGATGGGTAAGGCTATCAGTGCAGTCTTCCTGCCTGGCTCAGTGTCTCATGTCCCACTTTGTTGGATCTTCCTTAGAAATATTAGGCTCCTTGTCTGTCATACCAAGAGGACCTTTTCATGGACAGTAAATCAGGACCATGCTAAGAAGTGTACCTTTTTTCTTCTTTTGAAATAAGTCGATGTGATTTGATGTGTGTGGACAAGTTCTTTAGCTTGTAAGACTATCTGACCAGCTCAGCCTGAAACCTCTTCTATCTGAACCACTTTCAAGAACAATCTTTTCCATCTGTGATTATGTCTTGTGGGCCAATTGCCATTACAGACCGGGTGTCTGCAATCCCACAGGTTTCTGTTAGTTATTACCACCTCCTTTTCATGTATTTTACTTTGTTGACAGTACATTTTTTTTCTTCCATTAAGCTTTGTAAAGTTTACAAAAGGGGAAGTGCAAGAACCAGGTATCAATAGCAGAACGATTACTGTCATTTCCCTTGCTGTACTAACAGTTGATTTTTTCCTCTGAGCACTTGCTCTTTTCTCCTTAACAAAGCCATGGCGTTTCTCTGTTTTTTCACTATTAGGAAAATTAAGGTATGGGATCTTGTGGCTGCTTTGGATCCCCGTGCTCCAGCAGGGACCCTCTGCTTGCGAACCCTTGTGGTAAGAGCTTTTGGGAGTGGTGGTCAAGGGGACAGAAAGATGTGCTTGATCAGGACTGTCTTGAGCCATGAAAGCTCAAGTCGGGTTAGCCTCAGTCTGCAGGATCTAGAAATAATTTCTAGAAGTCTGGCTTTTTTGGGTGTCCCAACTTGTTTTTTTAATGTCACAAGCTGTAAAGCTTTCTTTAAAGCTTTTCTTTTCTTTAAAGCTATACAGTTCGAACCCTTGGAGTTTTCACTCACTTCTTAACAGTTTCGTTCTATGATTTGTAGTTAATAACTAAATCCATTTCTGAGACTTGTCCTTCTTGGTAACCATATCCCCAGTGGGTTTACCTTAGTCTGTGTGTACCTGATGACGTAGTAGTAAGTTGTCTGAATTGTTGACGTGAAATTTCTAAAAGAAAAGTAGTACACAGTTGAGGAACAGGAACACCATTGGGTCTACTTTTAGCTGGCCTTTGGGTGTTTAAGGAAAACACAGGTAAGGACTGGGGCAGTGAGGTTGCCTTTCCCTTAAAAAACAACTACTGCTTTCATGCTGCCCGTTGATATTTAGTGCAGGTCTGATGATGCCGTGGTTAATGTCATTATCTGAGAGTTAACAGCATTCACGGTCAGGCTTAACGGTGGCTCTGCAGTGGTCTTCTATTAATGTGAGAAAGTTGTGAGAAAAATGTCAGTAAGCCAGTGCCATGGGATGGTTCCTGTAAGCATTCTTCCATCACATTCACACCAAAAACCTCGCACTGTTGCTGAAGATAACGGAAGATTTCGATCCCATACCAAATTCTCATTGAAAAAGAAGTACTAAGTGTATTTATTTTTTAGCTGAGAAGTGTTTGGGTTAATATACCTTTGGCCTTTTCCTACTGTGGCATGTGACTGTCATCTGTGCTCTAAGCCAAGATCATACCAGACTCTCTGATTCTCTAAGTGTGGTTACCTCCCACCAGCTGAGCTGTGCTAGCTGACCTTCTGCACACTCATGCACCACCTGAATTGCTGCTGTTGATGGAGACTTTGCTGAAGTATTTCGTTTTGCATTTGGTGCAGACTGTGAGGGTTACTGTGACTCAGCTGACAGGCAGTAGTAGATCATTAAGCCGTGCTAACTCTTTTCCAATCATGTATTTGGACCATAAGATGTGGAGTAAGAGTCTATGAGAGCCTTGGATGCCTGCAGGTACTTTGCTGAAAAACCTTCTTGTTAGCCAATAGAACTGCAAATAGTTTCATGGCTGAAATTCAGAAAAACCCTTTGTCATCAGCCACCTAATCCAAACTGTGGAACAACTCTGTGCCCATGAGCACATATCCTGAGAGTCTAAGAGTTCAGCTTTGTATTAGTAGTGTTCCTGCTCCAACCTGAGACAAATGTGTGCCTAGTAACCTGTAGACTTAATTTAACTGGTGTGATTTCCTCTGCATTTTCCAGCAGTGGACAGCCAAAGTGCCACAGCTAATTGTATTATAAATCAGAAGCTGTGGGATGGAAACACTGTAGGAATCTCAACACATGGATACTCATAAATCCCTGTTTGATAGCGATGGAGGGGAGCAAAAGAGGAGGGGCAGAGGAAGCTGTTGTAGTGCTTTTAGGACTTCTCATGTTTATGACAACAGGACGTCCTTATACCTGCTTACCCATGGTTTGGGTTTTTTTTTCCTCTTCCCTCAGCCTCCAAAATTAAACGTGGCTGTACAATGAACATCGTGAGTCTCCTGCTGCTCGTGTTCAATTTTCAAACAGTAGGAGGAAAGTGCACAGATAACAAATGCTCGCTGCATGCCAGGTCCCTTCCAGTTCTGTCTTCCGTTAGCTGGAACAGCGGCCACGTGAATTTGACAGACACTTTCCAGGCACAGAAGAAGCACACAGTTCAGCTTCCCTTACGAGCTGAAGAGTCCAGGTCCTTATGGCTTCAGCTTAGGGTGTGCGTTCTCTTTATTGCCACTGCAACAGCAAAGGGCAGCTGCTACCTGGAAGTTCTGAAGGGCGACCTTACTTAGCCTCCCATGACTGGGAGAAAAAAAGGGGCTTTGGAAAGAGTTTTTGGACATACCCCCCTCTCTCTCTTAGTGTCTCTGTGAGCGATCCCTCAGTGTCTGACTGTTGCGGTATTTTTTTAGCAAGAACTTCTTTGCTTCACTGCTACAACGCAGACTCTGAGAAGACATTCCTTTTTGGAATAGGTGAGAAGGCAGAAACCCATGAAGGTGTTTTTAAGACAAATTTGAGTTATAGTTAGAAGATCAGAAATGTTCCAGTGATTAGACCTTTTATAAAATTTATCTTAAAAATAGAATCTGACTTTTGCATGTGTGTGTTTTCAGTTAATTTTAATTTAAAGATGCAGAGATTCGCTCTGTATTTTTTTAGTCCTTTGCCATAAGACAGAGGCTTCCCATTTAGTAGCTAAATAGTAATAATAATTAATAATAGTAATTATTAAAAATTAGTAATAGTAATAATAATTGCAGCTCTTTTGTCTAAATGTCTGAGCGACCTGTATTTTCAGTACTGAAACATTTTAAGGTGTGGGATTTTTCCTCACCCTAAGTCCCTTACAATGTATGAGCACTAAAGAGAAATACATATTAATGGAAGAAAGCTCACCCTAGTTTTATAGTGTCTGTTCCCTTCTCATCAAGGAGGAGGCCACTGCTCAGTCTTGCAGCTGTGTAAGCACCAAGAAAAAACAGGCAACACAAAAGGAGTTCGCAACAATAGGCAACACATAGTGGATTTTCTGTGTGATATCCAGGATCTTGCCATTACTTCCCATTAATTACAGTCTGAACTCTGCCAAACCATCATGCCATTTCTGCTTAGCCTCAGAGCAGAATGCAAACTGCCTATAAAGAATGCCCTTTCTAGTTCATATTTTTAGAACTGCTTAAGAGGAATTATTACTGTGTCAGTGGACTTTACAACAGGCTCCTTAGTGTCCTCCAGTATTAAGTTGTTTCATCTACAGAATTGGCAGAGGTACCAAGTCTTGAATGCAAAGGTCTCATTTCTCCCCCTGTAACCTGCTGCATCTGGGAATGCTGTGATTTCAGGAAGGAATTTCACTGTGGAACAAGGAAGTCAGTGCTCCTCTCGGCCTCACAGACTGAACTGTGTGGTGGAGGGAGCTTGGTTTGTTCTGCACAATGCATGTCCAATATTGGGATTCATGGAGTAATGGCATAACTGTAATGTAAGCTTCCTGCAAGCCAAGTACTGGGTATGGCAAACCCTTTTCACTGAAAGAGGGCTTAGCATACGCTATGTGATGGGGTGTCGTGAGGGCTTTACTGAGAAATTAATGTAACTCTAGAATGCAAGCCCAAGTCCATCTTCCCTGCTCCGTCCCAGGTGCCAGCACGTTTGCAAAGTAACATGCTGCATCTCTTGCTTGCTTTTAGGAGCATTCTGGAAGAGTCTTTCGGCTTCAGTTTGACGAGTTCCAGATTGTCAGCAGCTCACATGATGACACCATTCTCATCTGGGATTTTCTGAATGACCCAGCTGCACAAGCAGAATCCACTCGTTCCCCGTCCAGAACATACACCTACATCTCAAGATAAATAACACTACAGTGTACCTCACACTCGCACAGGTAATAAATAAATAAATAAAATGAACCTCAGAGGTGACACTGGATGTAGTGCGAGCATGCTGCTTGAAAAACTAGCTGTGTCTATTAATATTTCTCAGCTGGGCTGGACGCTAATTACAGTGTCCTGTAAAAGGACAGGAATGGTTTTGATATCTTAGAATAGGGACTTAATTTTAGGATTTGTGGCATGTGGTGCCTGTGAGTTCCCCTGAAGAACTCCTCCTCCTCTGTCCATCATCATCAATAATTAAATCAGCTAGTTGCTGCTGTCCAGAAGGAAGAAAGGTTTCGGCAGAGCGAGTAGAGCAGCTGCTGCCTAACAAGGGGATGCAGATGGCCTGACCCTGGGCAGTTGTCACCAGGCAGGAGGGTTTTGCCAAGAAGCATCAGCTTTATTCCCTCCCTCTGAAGGGGTGACCATTCTTCCCACTGCAGCAAACTGATTCAAGAGAGCAGTTTGACTAGAGAAGGAAGCACCGAGGCTCAAACCCAGGCAAATTTAATTGAGATGCGTCAATGTGCAAAATAATTTACTGATGGGGTGTAACCTGCATTTTCTCTAGCATAGCAGGGCTGTTAAATTGTTCATATCAGGGCCTGGCTGATTTGTTCGTCCATTTAACCTTTTGTCTTGGCCAGTACAGTGTGAGGAGGACATAATGTTTCATGGTTGGGTCTGTTGTAGCGTGGATTTGATATATATGAGTGGAGTGGGATAGCATGATTACCCACTTTGGTGGGTACATGCACAAGCACTGTTAATAGCTTGAGAATAATGGCAGAAGAGCTGACAGGCTTCTGCAAAGGGGTGTCCACAGTGACATTTTCCTATAAAAATGCTCTGTTGTGGGGCTCATCAAGTATCCTTTCTGTTTGGTTGGTAAATGTACAGTGATGCTTTAGAGCTGTCAGATCAGCTATCTTATTTTCTCAAACACTCTGGTCAATCAGATGTTCTTCTAAATCATTAAAAAGTTTAGTACGAATGGGGTTTGTTTGGTTTGTTCTGTTTTTTGTTCCCAGGACTCATTTAAGCTGCAGTATTTAAATTATCTGCCAATGCCAGGACAAAAGAACTATCCACGTAACCAATACTTGCTGAAGAGAGACACTCTCAGACTTGTTTCTGGAACAAAGTTGGCATGCGGTTGATCTCAGACAGGGTCTACTCAGCGTGGCTGACTGCTAAAGTGCTGCTATATCAGAAGATGACTTTTATCTTTCATGAACGGTTAACATTTTTAAACCTTCCCATCCCTTTCCTCCCTTGTCCCCATCTTCCTCTTCACTGCTCTTCCCTTTACCCTGTTTGGTTCCCCTCTAAACCCAGTCACAGATGTCCTATGAATATATTTAAGATGTTGCCAGAATGTGTTGCTTTGCTGTTAAGCAGAAGACTTATAGCCACAGTGCATCCTTTTTTTACTTCATGTTGGGTGGGAGGGTGGGGGGGGAGGAGGCTGCTACTCTCAGACTGAAATCAATATCCACTGCTAGGCCTTTAAAAAAGCATTCAGCTCTGAAGAGCAACAGAAACACTTAAAATGGCCAGACCAGCCTTCCCCCAGTCTGCTGACTTCCCTGTGGCTTTTGGCTATTCTGAGTGCAGACCTATTTTTTTGTGGAGAGGGGACCCTTGAAATTTGATTATTATGAACCAAATCCATCTCTTTCCTCTCCTGCCTTCTGTGCTAACCCTTTGGAAGCTGAATGTATATTGTAGTCTCCCTTAACATCTGCTTGGCTGGGGAGTGCTAGTCAGTGAAAAGTTAAACTCTCTTCTGCCAAAGCCCCAAGCACAATGGACTGGGGTTGAGATCCTGTCCACCTCCACCCTGGGTGAAACACTGGCCCAGGGTGCTATTTCACTAGCAAAGGGATTATCTATACCATCTTCCTCCTGCTCTTATCCCTGATGATAGTGTGTTGCTGATGGCTTATATCACATTCTGTAAACTGGAGGAAGTTTGAGCCTAGGCTCAGGAGGAAAGCTGGACATTGATCCTTTCTTTCCATTCCTTCTCCCCCCAGACTGGCTGTAGCTGGGTGCTGGAAGAGGGAGCTGCTAAAAAACCTTGTGGAGCTCTCAAGAATGAGCCAGCCTAGAGGGGAGACACTGCACAAACACTCTGGCCAGGACAGTAAGACTTTGCTCACATGAACAAGCCAATGCGCAGTCCCCTGGTGATGACAGATGGGTAAAAAGTGTATGGCCATGATTCCAGTCAGTACAGTTAGCAGTGACTCCAGGCCAGTAATGCAGAATTTCTGGGGCTGGCCTTGTTAGAAAGCCTTCAAAGGGAGAGCCTTTGGGGTGCTTCTCTAACCTACATGCATGCAGCATTGCAGTTTGGGGCTGATTAGTCCCTTTGCTGGTAGCTGAGCTGGATCTTTGCTTTCTGGCTGAGGCTTTTGCAAATTGCCATTGTTTAGAAGATAAAAATTGCCCTAAAGAGGAGGGACATGAGAAAAATTCTGTATGTCTCTGAACTGGACGGAGGGGTCTGGAGGGAAACAGCTCTTTTTAAAGAGTTGGAAGGAATTGCAGCAGGCCTGCATTTAGATCAGGAAAGACTTGTGTAAATCAGTCCCTGGCCATTCTGGGTTTGGGCCTAGATCTTCAGCTGTAGGTCTTGAATAACCCACACCACTTTGGTGGGGAGTTGCTCCGCTCCCACAGTAGGAAATCGAGGCCCTTCATCTCTGGGCTGGGGGGGTTTTAAACAGGCTTTATTAACACCCTCTAAACTTGGAACTTGGCAGATGGGAATTTTTTTTAACCTATTCTCATCAACTTCACTTTGCTGGGGAAGCAGTTGCATTGTTTCTAATTGCTTGGGATACACTTTTTCCACCAATGGAATTTTGCAAGGAGGTGGGCCAAGAGTCCCCAGAGTGCAGTCCAGAGGGCTTAAATCATTTTGGTGACAGCTGAGATGGACAAGAAGGTGATGGAGTTACAGAGGGAGGGAAAGCTGTTGCCTGAGGAGGACCTAGGGCAGTTCCTGAAGCACATGGGCAGCAGTGTTGAGCACTCAGCTCCCTCTGTTTTCATTGGGCCTAGGGACTACATCAGTTCTAAAGAGCATCTCAGAGTGCTCGGTGACACTCCTGTTTTCTGTTTGAACTACTATTGTAAAAGAGTCAAAACAGGTTAAAAACTCAACTCTGTTCAGGTAACAGAGTGACTTAGCTCTGCAGAGTCATAAAAGCTCTGAGTCACAATGATGAGTTCATCCACAACTGATTTGGGCACTACTTTGAAGTCTAGAAAGGCTGTTTTGGATTTCAGGCAGCTCTACGTATCAGGCATACTGCAGTCCCAAAGCCAAAGTGGTAAAGGAGCAGAATCAAAGTTTACATCCCAAAGCTGAGTTGAAGTTCCAAGTCTTATTTTTGATGTTATTTGAACACTGTTCCTCTAAGTTCAGTTATTACAAGGTCTGTAGCATGGTTATATATTAGCAGGAGTTTATATGATCTTGGCTGCTGGTCATCCTCTGTCTTTTACATTTAGGTTAATGTAGAAAGCAATGATCTCTCACTTAAGCTTCTGAAGGCTGCAGAACTTCCTAATGTTTTAATTACATCCTTGTGGCCAGCAGCTACAAGGATGCATTTTATTTAGCAAGTTGTGAGATTCTGGTAGAACCAGAAGACTGGCTGGCCAAACAGAGACAACACCATGGCAGATTGTCCTTGGTTGTCACAGCCCTGCTGCTCCATGCTGCTGTTGTGTACCTTGTAAGCACTGCTGGATCTTCAAGTGGTACCATAGTTTGAACTCTGCTGTATAGAGCTGTTTAAGGTACGGTTAGTGAGCGACAGCCAATACCTGTTTTCTGCACACGGTAAGAACAGTGTCTTGCCCGTAAGAAGGGACGGTGTCTGGGTACTGCCTGGAGCTGCAGAGGGGCGAGGATTCCTACCCCACTCCCCGAGTTGTACAAATTTTCTGATAGCTAAGATGGAAACTGAAGTTAACTGATCTAACTTGAACTTGAAACTGCCACAGCCTGACATTTGGTGGTGCTTATTGTGCACCCCGGGAGGAGCAATTTGGTAAGTAGATCTCCCAATGTCAGAAGAAAGTGGCTTTTTCAAACTTCCCCCCACCCTCCTTAGGATATGTGTGCATGTGTGTGTGAGTGTTCAGGAGTGCATGTGAGAAAGAGGTTTCAGCATGGACTGGATGGATAATCCCTCAGCCAGGTTGGAGTAATTGCAGAGTTTATAATGAGAAGAACTAGAATGTGCCTGCTGAAAGGAGACAAAAAAGGGCCGGAAGTGTCTGTGGGCTTTTAAGTGTTTCATATCGCTTTGAAACGAAATACCTCTGCTGCGCAGAGGTCAGCACTTCTCCCACAGGTGAGAAGCTCACAACTAGGCTCCCCCCTTGGACTGTGGGATGGAAAGTACCGGAGGTGTGTGATATTCAGAGCAGGACAATCCGTTATGGCCACACCATCTCCTGCTTGTGACTCCTTTGCAATAGGGCACAGTTTTGCTGCAAATATTTCTCATCCTCAGAGGAACACAGCTTGCTTTAAAATATGCAAATAGAAAATGGCATGAAGGAATTTGCAGCAAGAAAGCTTCTGCAGCTGTCTCCTCTGGAGCAGCTCCCTCTGCTCCCCGTTAACCTTCAGGGACAGGCGCATCCCCTGTTGGAACAGAAGGATTCAGGTGACAAGTTGAGACGTCTATGATCATCAGAAACACTGAAATGCTTTACACTTGTTTCTAAACTGGAAGCTGACTTGGACCATCATGCTCTACCTACCTGCCACCTGCTCCTGCTCCAAAGGATCATTTTTCTTTTACTTTTTTTTTTTTTTCCGAACACTGAAAAAGCTGGAGACTACCATGTGCATTTCTCTACTCCCAGGTATGTGTTTCCTGCCCCTGCCACACACTCCTTTCTCCGTCTGAGCAGAGCTCCAGGCTTGTTCTGAGTTTTTTGGCATCCTAGCTCCCATGGGAAGCACATCTCCAGGCTGGGCTCCTTGCCTAGCTTTGTTAGCTTCCTTTAACACCATTTTAGATCTGCCTTTAGTGGGTGATGATTCCTAAATTTGCTTGAGGGGGATAATATTTGTGTTGGATAAATCACAAATAAGTAGCAGCTCTTCCTAGCTAGAGAAGCAGGCAAGAAGGAGTAGCCAGCCTTCCTACTGCGGACTGGCTCCTAATTGTGGGAGAAAAAGGTGGAGAAAACCAAAGTGGTTGAGAGCTAGGAGGGGATGCAGGGATGGAGATGGATCTCTACAGAATCCGGGACAATGCTGAAAATAGATCTCTTAGCTTGTGTAGTTGACTTAGAAGAATAGAGGTTTTCTCTGAGAACACCAGAAGTCATCAGGAGATAATCGGGCAAGGCCTCCAACTGTTGAACTTGTCAGTTGATGCCCCTTTTAGGTTACACTGGAGGTGTGAAAGACATGGTCTAAACTACACTTGCCAAGAGAAGAATGAACTTTGCCAGGGTCTCCAAGTGGCATGCATGATGCATCTGACATGCTGAGCCTTGCCCTACTGTTTTTCCTCCCAAAGCAGCAGCTTCCCAGGAGGGCAGAACAGCAAGTGACCCAACTGTCCCCAAAGGAGATCTCCATATGAAATCCCTCCATCCTCCTGCCAGCAAGTCCCTACCAGATTGATTGGCATGAGGGGGCCACGGTCTTTCTGTCCCCACTCCAGAGACTCACAGAAGCAGCAGGTCTGCTGGGTATGTTCCTTCTCCTCAACCAGAGCAGCTGGTTGAGAGGAACGGCTGCCTGCTGAGGCTGGGCATTTGGCTTCCCTCCTTTCTCTCACCCCATTTTTTAAAAAATGAGGTGTAGCAAATCTCTTGGCAAATTCCCAGTGTCTCTCCCAGGGTGAGCCTTGGCACACTGCCAGAATAAATCATCCCTTGCCTTGTCAGAAAACTCTTCCTGTGTTTTTGTGCTTGTTCCCAAAGACCACTGGGCTTCCACATGTGGTGTCCAGCAGACATCCCATGGGAGCTGGCAACATCGGTTAACCCTTGCTGGTGTTGTGGATGCCCCCTCCCTGGAATTGTTCAAGGCCAGGTTAGATGGGGCTTTGAGCAACCTGATCTAGTGGGAGGTGTCCCTGCCTGTGGCAGGGGGGTTGGAACTAGATGATCTCTAGGATCACTTCCAACCCAAACCATTCTGCGATTCTGTGTTAAGCTGATATTCTCAAAATCAGAGGGATGCTGATGTACATGGGTGTACGGTTCCTTTTGT